AGTCGATTTTTCGGCCGACCGCCCCCGGTGATGCGCCCCATACTAAGCCTCGCGGTGACATTGACCTTTAGAAGGTTCCCTGTACGGTGGCCTTGAGTTTGAAAAGGCTCCCTGTCTTGTCTGCACTGGGTCGCGATTCCTTTGGTCACCGCCTAGCATGAAGTCTGGGGCGACAGGGCAAGGGCAAGAGAAGCCACATTGCGGCGGCCTTGTCCGCGCCGCGTGCGGTGCTACGCCGTCCTGCAGAAGCCACTCCTCGCCTCGTCCCGATCGATCCCGCGAAGTCGCCTCGGGACCGCCCAGAACGGTATCAGGGCGGGAGCAATGTAGCGCTCTGAGGTGGAATGCCACGACGAGAACGACAAGATATTCGTTCTCGTCCTCAAGTAGGCACCTGCAGTGTGACGGCTTGACAAATGTGAGATCAGTGACGATTGCCACTGTTCTTATCACGGGCTGGCATTGAATGGGTGTTCAAATGCCACCGCAGCCTCCATTGCGCGAGAAATATGCTTGTCGCTTATCCCTATTGAATGGAACGTGTTAACTTTTTGCTGGGCCGCCTTGCATAAACGGTACCTCCAAGCCACAGCCTGTTTATTTCACATTTCCACGATTCTTTTCCGGACTTGACGTACTTCTAAAACCATATATTGACGGCGCAATCGGGAGGCCTCCCTTTGTGCTCCGTCCATCCGTTCTCACGGGTAAGAAGGGGTACTTTAGCATGTCTATGTTCACATCACACGACTGGGGGTCAAAAGATATACAAAAACTGAGTTCTTGTTAGCCATGGGGCGTGCGGGAAAGTAACGCAGTATGATTGGGGTGGCCGTAATTTGTATCAAACGATTTAATCAATTATCCGTAGCAAGAGCTGAAGTGGCCGAAATAGATCAGGTTTTAGGTGTAGGTTAAGTCAACCTTATCGGTTTAACAACAGCCAGATATACTCTCAAATCTTGCCGTGACGCAACAGTCAGATATGACCTCAAATTTCGCCGTGGCACAACAGCTAGCTGTAGTCCGAAATTTTGCCGTGGCACAACAGGCAGATATAGTCTCAAATCTCGCTGTGGCACAACAGCCAGATAAAGCCTCAAATCTTGCCGTGGCACAACAACCAGATACCGTCCCAAAACATCAAACATGGACGCTTAGAACATTTTCTTGGGCTAAGCCGCTTACTGCCTTGCATTGTGTTATATCGTACGGACGCGAACCGAAGAATGGCTCAGGCTTGAACTTGAACCCACCATTAGCTTGTAACATCAAGTGCGGACTACCAGTAGTCTGAAGCCACAGTAGGGTGTGGACAAAAATCATTTAAGCTCGGAGCCCAATCTGTTAACAGAGCTACAAGTGCGCCACTATTTTGAGTTGGCTCAGGGTGGCCTGTAATTTTCGTCAGAGCACCCTGTGTCCGTGACAGGTATCATAATTCACAAACAGCCTGCACCATGCAAGATTTGATGTGTGAATATCAAATGGGATCAGGAACCAGTTATTCTATGCTGTTAGCCATTTGCAGTGTCATGTCGAGTGGACTTAGGATCGACCGACCGTTGAATTTTTGACACAGTGAAAGCCAAATATTGTTGAGTGGTGCTGGCAATTTCCGGACGTGGTTGCTTTTCACCTTCGTGGTCATAATGCAAAACAACGTATCGTTTGATGTCCCATTACAGGAAAGCGAGGCGTAAGGCCATCAAAAGAGTGTCATCTAATTTATCTATTGGTTGAATGTTCATTTTATCATTTACTGAGCTGACGATACAAAAAGTTATTCAGACTTGCATATGGTGCAAATTCTTGTATCAGGCATGGATGTGATGTCATTTGCTGTCATACTCAAGTGAAACATCAAGTCACATTGGCTGGATCGATTGACTAAGTTCCCATAGTTCGGTACAAGAACATGCTGTTACTACAGAATTATACCTAAACGAGTTCCACTACAATGCTACAACATGAGAAAAATAGGTGTGTGATCAGCATAAAACAAAATTCCCAAGAGCAGCAGTTTGGAACGGCGTTCAGAAGTAACTTGTCACATTTATCCGCATTGAGAAAGTACGGTTTCAAAATTTGCTCTCGAAAGCCTGCTCTAATGTGCGTTAGTGCAAATGCGCCTGCTAATTAACAACACGCCAAAATGTCACAGCAGTGAGTTAAAAATCCCGGTACTAGCAAACGTATCGGCTCCTGTAGGATGCAACAAGATGCCGTGCCAAGTCATTACGAGCAGGAGAAATGCCGGTGCACTAAGAGTAAATCTAAAGTCCAAGAGTCCAGTTTGTTGTCCGTCACACTGATCCCCAGGTTTTGTAGTCCATGCGCAAGTATCTGTACTCTTCAAAAAGGCAACACGTAATCACGTTCAGGAAATAGCGTCCAACTCAACAGAGTGCAATTACTGCCATGACTCACCATTTGGCGTTCGGAAAAGGACATCTAGCATGCAAGTTTTGCCTTGCACCAAACGTTGATAAGGTTTTAAAACTCTCACCGCCTCAGCCCAACTAAAATAATACGCACAAGGGTCAGTGCGCCCCGCCATGGCACACGAATACAATGGTAAATATCTCTTTAGCTTGGTAAATCCCTCACGTCAAGGTAGCGTCAAAAGAGCCGACATGAAAGCAGCATGTTGTAAGCAAGAGAAGTTTTAAACTCATCGGTTTCACGCATTGTGCATTATTATCCCCGAACTAACTCATCATCAGTATGGTAACCATGACGTACCGCTTAGACGAAGATACCGAGCAATCTTTCGAATATATTACGACAATGCTCAACAATTTTAGCCGCGCTCATCTTCACAAGTGAACAAAGTTAAGCACAAATTGCGGCTTAAAAAGCTAAGGTGCGGGAATAAAAGCCACGCGAATGCACATTAAGGGCGCTTTGAATATATACCGGTTCAGCCAATGAAAACATGTCAATACAATTGATAATTTAAGCTCCCACATCTTAGCACTTAATATAGGGCACCATGCTACTGGCAGCTCACAACCCAGATTACTAATTATAAAGAGTATCATGGGCCCAAACCGAGCACAAGGTTAGACATGAACTTACCAAGAATGTCAGGATATCCATTTATGCTCCCGCACTCTAATACCCAATAACAAGCGAATATAAAATAAGAACTGACCTTGTTACAGAATATAGTGTTCCATGCAACGCCTAGCAAACTATACCAAATGAATCCCACCTAAAACGCTGATCAAACATCGATCAATCAGACAGTCACTTAACAATCGAATTGCCACTCAACAATCAGCAATAAAAAATGTAAGTCAAAGGCACAGACACATTCACGAATTTTACTAAGAAAAATTGTCAGTGACATGGGCTATTACAGCCACCTGTGAAAAATAAAACTCCGGGAGCACGGAAACGAGTGAAGCCAGTCAATGCAGCGCAAGTCGCACTAACGTATGAACCAATCATGCGATAAACACGGGAAGAGGGACAGTGTACAATCTTGTCTATCATATGCGCAATATAAATAAATAGGGCGCATGATAACAGTCGCAGCACAACTTGGCAGGATGATGGAAAAAACACATATTATGCATGCATGGAGGAATGCTTATCAAATATCTTGAAGTTCTTGCTGTCGTGTGCCACTGACGAAATGTATGCTTTGAAACTGCTGTTGGTTAAAACATGTTCCATTTCAAGCATACATCAGTTTTGCTCTAAAATTGCAATTTTCACTCTGGTTACATGGAAAGCTTAGCACTTAAGCCGTTTTCTGTAACACTCCTAGATTCATCCATGCCAGTTTATACGCATCACACAGCCTGAATGTCAACACTGCCGACCTCTTCTAATGTTACACGGTCTAAATGTCACTACTTCTAACCTCTTCTAATGTCACAGAACATAAATGTCACCACTACTGCTAAACACAGGCTATGCAAAACTGAGCTTTTGGACGTGGCAACATGAGCATTAATGGTCAGGGGAACATCTATGAAAAGACAAAATATGTGTCGCAATATGACCACTTCATGAAGATAGGGTTAAGTCGCACCGCGAATTTACACCTCGTATTGCCTGTCTGCCCGGCCGCATATTCTATCTCTCTGGTTGATGGGAGTTCATAGCCCAATGGGACAACGCCGCGTTAGATCCACCAGGAACATATGCCAGCTGGCGATCCGAGTGGCCGGAAATGCCAGCTGGCGATCCGAGAAGCCGGACATGCACCCCAGAGCAGTCGCGTCAGGTCAGGGAGGTCTTCTGACCACTATGGCGACCCGAGTGGCCGGACATGCACCCCAGAGCAGTCGCGTCAGGTCAGGGAGGTCTTCTGACCACTATGGCGATCCGAGTGGCCGGACATGCACCCCAGAGCAGTCGCGTCGGGTCAGGGAGGTCTTCTGACCACTATGGCGATCCGAGTGGCCGGACATGCACCCCAGAGCAGTCGCGTCAGGTCAGGGAGGTCTTCTGACCACTATGGCGATCCGAGTGGCCGGACATGCACCCCAGAGCAGTCGCGTCAGGTCAGGGAGGTCTTCTGACCACTATGGCGATTCGCAAGCTCTTCCATTGACATGGCGTTTCTATCCAGTGGACTTGCACAATTTGTCCAAAATTTTTTCCAAGTGCAATTAATCATCGTGTATGCATGCCCCAAACAAAATCGGTTAGCGAATATATATTAAAGTATACTAATTACAATAAATGTGCCACCAGCATTTATATCTTACGGCACACAAAACAGACGTCGCACTGAAGGCAAAAGCTGCTGATTCAGCAGGGATTCATGGACACACCAATTGTGCGACGAAATATCTGATGTACTGGATTTTTATATAAGACAACAACAAAGCAAGCACCACTGGACCGTCATCTTGAGCGTCTCGCCGTCTCGCAGTCTGCCATATCAAGAAAGCAAACGGTTACATTTCCTGTAGGGCTTTTGCAATTGTCCCCGTATAACGAGTTCGGGTACCAGCTGTGCAGGTGCCGGTCAGCCATACCTGTGCTCCCCAGCGCTCGCGACTGGCCGGAAGGGGTTCGCCGGCCTCGCGTTGCTTCTCCTCCAGCGCTGTCAGCTGCTGAGCGCCCATGGTCTCAGCCGTCAGTCTGGTGAGCACGGTCGGCGCTTCCTCGCACGTCCGACCACACCGCTGGTCTGGGTGCCGCACCATCCCGCCGCTCCGCTTTTGTATCCGGAAAACAATGCAGAATCGTGAGCGACTTCGAGACGACATTCTATTCCTCGCGGCCTCCAGGCAGACGTCGGCATTCATTGACGCAGAGGCGTATTTCGCCAAGCGTCTAAAATGTCGGCTAGGAGGCGCAGGCGATTTCCAGTCATTATTCGAATTTCCTACGCGATGCAATGGTCACTTTTGTGTCTTACAGCACGGGGTAACTGCCCATCCTGGTCTGGGTGAGACGCCCATGGGTTGCTCGGCAATGAGAATAACAAGCATTCAATGTACCGTTTTTCTATGCTGGCACACGATTCTCGCTCCCGCTCGGCGCCGCTCTAGAAACCAGCTACAACTGGCTCGAGCCAGTTATTGGGGTGCAGCGCTATTTGTGATTTAATGAGAGACCTCAGCTGCACTCTTACAAGCCTGGTAAATAGCTCCGTGGATGCCTAGTCAGGGCAACGTTCAAAAACAACGCCAGTTGACAATGGGCCAGCAACATAACTGCTACAAAGAATGCGGCAGGTGTAATTTAAATCAGCTCGCTTTTGTGCGCAGCTCGTCTCAGGACATGGTCTTAAATTTGCCTCTAAAAGAATATTTGTGTGACCTCTTTACGTTTGCCTCCAAAAAGGATATGGTTGTGAGTTTCACTGCCTGGTCATGGCTCTGTCCATCGCAGTTCAAACCTCATACCAATGTGGAGCACCCCTGTAAACAATACATAGCTTGTGCATTATCTTATATCATTTTCAACGCATTCACACACATTAGGTAAAATCTTAGATAACTGGCCAGTGGTACACCTATGGTACACCGATTCTTATACGGCAAATATACCGATATTTGCCATCTCAGTTCAAATATTCATGGACCGGAAAACGTCATCCAGACCAGAAAGTAATTGAGTGGCCTTTCGTTTGCTGACATAAGCAGTAGGTCACAGAAACATAACAAGAAATAATATTGCGAGGAAACTTCTTTATAGTTATGATTTATATTCATCCTGAGAGATGAATATGCTCATATTAATGCTATCATAACTGC